GTTTGTTTGTAGCAGTATATATATTTATGTATATTAAACACGTGTTCTCGGTTCAAAAACAACTTCAATAAATATCGTGAATACGATTGTCATTTCTCACGAAAACATACCTAAATGTCTTTCTACTCTACCGGTAACTTTTTTTGAAAACCTAATATGTTGACTAGCTAACTTCAGGCATTATCTATTCAGGGACTTTCCGATCGACAGAGGACTGTTCTGCCGATAACGACCGTCCTCAAAGATGGCACGTAGATGTCGTGGCCGGACTAGGGTTCAAAAGTTAGGTGTTTTTGAAAAAATGAAGTAAAGTTCGAATAAATATTGAAGTGAGACATTTTGAGAGGAATGTCGGTAACCAGTAACCAGGCTGGATGTTGACGGATTCGACGAGGTCGAAACTTAGGGTGGCAGCATTGCTTTGACCAAGACAGCTGCGCCCCGGACAAAGCTTCTGTTAACTATGGACAGGAGGAGTCTGGCCAAATGCGCTCGACTGAGAAGCAAGGATCATTTAAATTAAAGAAGAATAAGAAACTGCTTCAGGTTGTCGGTTTTTCGTGCGCGGGTGTCTTAAAAATTTACCCTCATCATTTTTCCCTAACGCGCCAAAAGAAGTATAACTTCAAAAATGAATTTTTATCTTCGGTGCAGAAATAAAACTCATCGCTTACTCTAAATATTTACATATGTTTATTTTATCACAGTAAAAAATATACACAGTGTACACAAATAATGTTTTTCCAATACTTGAACAGATATATAAATATCTATAAATGAGATGATATGAGGCAGTGCTCCAATACACAGGGTGAACCTGAAAATTTCTCAGCCGAGGAAATTTTCGTTGGCACCTGTAATTCAAACAACTGCAAAAACCTGTCAAAAATCAATAATCAGTAAAACTTTTAGTTATCAACAATCAAATAATAACATAAGTACTTCTAACTGTTCGTCTGGCATGTACAGGGTGTTGGCGAATCCTTTATAAAAGGACTCTTGCGCGTATATCAGGAGCGTCAAAAATTTTTCAAAAGTAAGCTACATATATTTAGGTTAATTTAAAGCTACAATCGAATGAACTCTAGGACACCCTGTATATGCACAGCAGGCATCAATTATACTTTGGTCGTTTTGAATCATCCTAAACCTCTTTGGTTTAGCTAAATGAAAATCATCTGGTTTGGTGAGAATAGGAGCTATACATAGTCCCGTCACGTAAGCACAAAAAAGGGGTGAAACTCGGAGTAAGAGATAATAAGCTGTAAATTCGTATGCCCCTTCATTTCGGTGTTCTAGAAGTTGCCTCAGAAGTCCCATGAAATCTCTGGTCTACGCCGGAAGTTATTCAAGGTTAAAGGTCACAAAAATCAGTTTTTTGCGATTATCTCGGTTTCTATAGATCTAATGATGTTGACACTCATTTCAAAAATTGTAGAGCATAAAATTAGCGACAAATTTTCTCCGATTTTTTTTTCTTTCATACGCCCGACCGTTTTTTATATAGAGGAAGAAGAACCCGTAGCGCTCAGACCTACTTTTTCTGTGAACAGAAGTATATACCTGAGGATGGGAAATCCTGCATAATACGACCTTCATGTTTAGTTAGTTCATGAAGCAGATGTTCCGTAGTTGTGTAGACTGCTTCATTTTTCGAGGTACCACTTTCTATTGACTGAATTTATTGTTGGTTCGGATCTCAGCAAGGACGTATGTACAAGTTTAAGAATTGTGGCCATCATCTTCGAAATACTCAGTTGGTAAAATCAACAAAGCTTCATAAACCTGTCCAGTTGTCCAATCTTCAACCGACAAGTGCAGCAGCCCATCAGAATATGAATCGTATTCATAACCAGGTTCAAAAATGGTTAGAGCATGAATTGGAACCCCAGGAATCGGGTTGGGTGCTGCAAAATCAACTCCTGGAGCCAAAAACAACAATATTACCACCAGTGCTGAGGAATTACTTGATACACTATTTTGTAATTGTAAGAATGGATGTGGTGTACGCTGTGGGTACAGAAAATGGGGGTTGCGATGCACTTTAGCTTGGGGCCACAGCAATGGACAAGCTTGCCTCAATGTTGTTTCAAGCAGACTTAGTAGGTATTTCAAAAAGTGCGGTACATTGGACATGAGAAAACTGTGTGCAAGATAGGTTTGCTTCAAAGAAAGCGAAGGCCGTTTCATTTGCAGGCAAGGTCATGGCATCGGTTTTTGGATTGCGCCTAGGATAATTAAAAAGGTAAAACTATCAACTACGCGAACTTATTGCAGAGTTTGAGTGAAGAAAACAAGCAAAAACGGCCGCAGTTGCTAAAAAAAAGTGGTGTTTCATCAAGGCAATGCACCAGCTTACAAAGACATTATGACATTGACCAAAATTAAAGAATTAATGTTTGAATTGCTACCTCTTGCACCGTATTCGCTAGATTAAGCCCCCTCGGAATATTTTATGTTCCCAAACTTGAAACAATGGCTCAGTGGTCAAAGATTTTCCATCAACGATGAAGAAGTTATGTTGACAGTTGATGGCTATGGTGAGGGAGAAGGCAGTTATTATTATAAAAACGGTATCAAACTTATTGAACGTCGTTGGGGGAAGTGTATAGAGCTGCAAGGAGATTATGTTGAAAAATAAATAAATATTTGTGTTTTCTTTGTTCATTCTGGTGGTTTCATTTCCATTTACTACAATAGAATCGAGCTAACTATATTTCTATCAACCAATCCCCAGACTTTCACGCTTGAAAAAGATTCCCCTTTCTCACCAACCCGTTTTCTGTAAGAAGACTTGCTGAATACAATTGAAGTAACATTAAAGCTCCAACGTTGCTCGCAAACAGATCAACAATGCCTATCAATACTGTTTGAGATGACATATTTTCTTCACCAAACTTCACACTTCGCCTTGGGGTTCATCTTCGATCCGGGTTTGCACCCGAACTCCTGGCTGAATTCCTTGAGGTTGCTCAGAGCCCCGATCACCCTGTATTGAGCGGGGGAATGCGAGTCTTTTTCTATTTGTAGGTTGGTAGCCTCCTTGGTCACCGTCGAACACCAGACCTGAATCATATTGATTTTTCAGAAGGGTTGTCTCGGAGTGATGCGGGGGGTACTTACCTGCGCAAAAGCAACAAAAAAAAGTTGTTTGTGGTTCAGGGGAATGCCGGGAAGAGCTTGGGGTTCCGGTTTGTTCTTCATGAGCTCCAGGTACGCGTGGAAGGCTGCTTTCAGTCCTCCGTTGTCGGCTATGTTCTCGCCAAGGGTTTGGTTTCCGTTGATGTTTTTGCCGTTTATTTGGTATTTGTCTGAAATATTATTAGTATCAAGTATTAAAGTTTCTAATTGAGAATAGTCAGAAAACAAAGCCGCAAATTTACGTACAGATTAATATACCCCCAGACCATATTTCGGTAAAAGAACAAAGACAATTGCGGGTTTTTTTTCAGAAAAAATAATGTGGAAGTAGCATTCAGACCACATGCCACGTTATCTAATTTCCTTTTTCATGCCAAAGATAAAGTGGGCAAGATGGAGAAATCTGGAGTTTATAAGCTTGAGTATCCGGAGTGTAACAGTATTTATGGGGAACAATATGGCTGAAATTTCTCAAAACGGTCCAAGCACATGAAAGGTCCTTCAGACTTAGTGAAAATTGATTGATTTTTAAACAAATTTGAATTTTTTTGTCTCTTTTCAGCTCATTACTATATGCTGTCGTTGGTGTCAAAATAAAAACTTTCAAAACAACCAAATGAATCATTGCATAGGTTGCCTTTTATGTTTCGAGATTTGGCAACCCTTGTGTTACAATCTGGCAACTGACAGCTGTATCGTAAAGTTGGACATTTTTGAGGTTACGTTTTGACATGCGCGCGCTATTTGTGTTGTTTACAGAAACCTAAAAGATTCATCTCGGCCCAAAAATGGAATTAAATTGTAAACATTTTCGTGCGATTATTTTTTACAACTTTCGACGTGGATTAACTCAGCAACAGTGCATGGATGAACTTAAATCAATTTTTGGCGATGAAGCTCCATTAAGGACCAGTGTTTATCGATGGTATGGTCAACCGTGTCCATTGGTCGAAGGAAATACAAAAAATACGATCGCGGTGCTTCGAAACACGTCTATGACATCGTAACAGGTGATGAATCGTGGATTTACGCCTATGAGCCAGAAAGTAAACAGCAGTCGACTGTATGGGTGTTTTGAGATGAGCCAAATCCAACAAAAATTGTTCGCGAACGAAGCACTTCCAAGAAAATGGTCGCCTGTTTTTTCAGAAAAACTGGACATGTCGCAACCGTACCACTAGAACAACGCAGAACAGTCAATTCTGAGTAACACACAACCATTTGTTTGCCAGTTGTCTTCCAAGAAATCAGGCAACCAACCGCCGAAGACGGATCACTCTTCACCACAACAATGCGAGCTCAAACAACTGCATTTTTGAGCACCCAAACATCGATTTGATGAGTCATCCGCCGTATAGTTCTGCCTTGCCTTGTCACATAATGGGTTGGTGAAGATTGAAATGTGTTCGAATATTTTTTAATTAAACAATCTGTTTCCATTATGGAGATAGAAATCACTGTTAGAATTCCATGAGTGTTGAAGAGTAATCTACAAGAGTCTGTACGTTTTGATCTGCACATATATCTCATGGCTCGTTTTTGCAAAACTAAAATATTTTGAAGTAGATAACCACTACATACTCCCCAAAATGGAATTCCATATCTTACGTGAGATTCCACCAAAGAAAAATAAACAGTCTTAGCTGCTGTTGAACCAAGTTCATTTGCGACTACTCTGACTGCATAACATCCAGAGGACATTTTATTAAACAAGGCATAAATATGTTCTTCAAATTTTAGTTTACTATCGATATGTACTCCTAAAAATTCCAGGCTACTTTTGTTCTCAATGATGTTACTCCCAATGGGTATATTGTCAAGTTCGCATCTGAAAGTTACTATATTAGTTTTCGAAATATTTAGAGAAAGACGATTTGAATCACACCAATTTTTCACTGTCATCATATCGTTGGATATGATTTTAGTTAAATCGTCTGCAAATATTGTGAATTTCCCTGAAATATTTATACTTGTCAAATCGTTGACGTAGATGAGGAACAATGTAGGCCCTAGTATTGAACCCTGAGGTACACCCTTATGTATTTTTCCAATTTCTGAGCGGCCTGACGACCTGACAAATATGAGCTGAACCAGCTCAGTATCACTGTTCTGAAACCATAATAAGGAAGCTTCCTCAGCAGTATTTCGTGATCCACACAGTCGAAAGCCTTCGAGAAATCGCAAAATACGGCAGCAGCAACCTCGCCACTATTGATTCCAGTATAAATTTTTTCCATGAGTGAGAAAATTGCATCACTAGTGCCTTTACCACTTTGAAAGCCAAACTGTTCTTCATTGATGATTTTATGATTTGACAGAAATACAGTTATCCTCAGCTTGACTAGTTTTTCTATAAGTTTTCCTAATGTGGGAATTAGAGAAATAGGCCGATAATGCGAGGGGTCGTCCTGATTACCTCCTTTATATAGTGGTATTACCAATGATACCTTCAGAAAGTCAGGAAATTTTCCTGAACGAAATGATGCATTAATAATATTGGTCAAGAGTTGTAATGTGTTATCTGAAGAAGCCGTTGCTGCATTCAGAATGTATGTTTTGGAGATACTTCAATGTCGAAGCAAAAGTGCTTCGACAATTGGTTCAAATGCATGCAAAAGTGTATAGATCTTCATGGGGAATATTTTGATAAACAATAAAGTGATTTTCGATGATTAATATTTGTTTTTGTTCTCTAATCCCGAAAAATAAAAGGCAACCCTCTACGTATAAGAAAAGTAATACTTCGAAATGAAACCTCGAAACATTGATTTTTCCCAACGTAGGTACCTAACAAGAGAATCACAAAAATTGAATAATAATCGCCAAAAAGCCTAATCAGCTCACCTACCAGTGTTATCAGATCATCATCACCACCACATGCTTTACCAACATTTGTTGATTTTTTTCGTATTGCAACTATAATATTATATTGATTCAGGACCTGAAGGACTTAAACACTTTGTATTCTCATTCAGTCCATTGATAATGGTACAGAAATGTTAGGTTAGGTCATGTGACTTGAAATAGTAACGATCCACTCACTGTATTGGTCCACAACGCATTTGGTCCTCTGCTTGAACTTCTCGATGGTCTTGTTCTTCCACCAGTGGTTCAAATTGCCGAACTTATCGAACTGCCTGCCCTGGTCGTCGAAACCGTGAGTCAGCTCGTGTCCCATCACAACTCCCATCCCACCGTAATTCAAACTGGGGGGGAACGACGGGTCGTAGAACGGGCTTTGGAGTATGCCAGCGGGGAACACCATCTGGTTCTTCGTCGGGGTGTAGTAGGCGTTCACAGTTGAAGGCGCCATACCTATCAGAGAGTTGACAAAATTTACAGTAACTACTTTGTTGGGGAAACTGTAGGTGCGCTGATATTACAGCACATCTGTGTTTTTTCACTGTATCGAATTTGAGAAAGCAGTAAGCGGTGAAAAGAGAAATCAACGACCTTTCAAACAAGTTGATCCGAATTCCATTTGAGATTTAGGGGTGGTGCACCCCGCTGACGGAGTTGAGGTGACAGAGACTAAAATATGACTGAAAGATTGATTGCCGCCTCAAAATTAAAATAGACGGGCCTTAACGATTATTTCTGAACTACTGAAGAAGTGGAATAAATGCTGATTAAGCAATGTTGCTTACATTACAGATTTTGATTGCTATTTCAGCAAAAAAAATCTAAATTCAATATTATATGATTCTAAATTGTTGTTTACTGGTTATTGGTCTAACTAAAAACGAACAAAACTCTTGTAGCAAAATAATAGAAGAATAGATAAACAAAGACAAATAGTTGAAAGTGAGAAATCGAATCAAGCTCCTGTACCAAGCGGAGAGTGATACGAACAAAGAAAGGTAGTTTGGTAGAGAAAAGTAACCTGGTTTGAAAAATGTTCCTTCTTTTTTTCCATGTATATTATAGTCATTTCAATTATTGTTAATCTAGTATTCGTGAAACTCATTTTCTTTAATTTTTCATCCAATCATTATCTCTTAGATTTCAAGTCTATTGAAACTTTTCAAAAATTCGTGTGAGTTGTTTTTCACTTACTCCATGTTGTTTTGTTAACCGGTTCGTTGATTTTTTCCAAATTTTTCCTGAGGTTGAAGGAGCTGATTTGGATGTTATTCTCAAAATATTCATTGCTTCGTAGAGATAAGTTTGCGAATCTCTTGTCCAATTCGTTCATATTTTTAACAAACTCCGGATAACCTGAAAGGAATTCATGTCATTCAACTCATTATCGGTGTGTTTTCTTTAGTGAAAACCTACCAATCATATCCGATATAGCGTCAGCTTTCGCTATAGCCACTTGTCTCGTATCTTCGTCCATCCATTTCAAATTTTGGAAGTTTTTCTTGAAAGCATCCCTCACGTTGTTGATCATTTCTTCGGCTTGAAGTTTGGAGTCCTGATGAAACACTTCTCTGACAAAAATGGCTCCTATGGCAAATCCTAAAAATATATATTTTCAAGCTGTTCAAATCAGTTTTTGTAAAAAGGGATACTTTCCAAAACACCAATCATTTCGAAAAAGTCATGTATAAAAACTACCCTCTCCATTATTTTTATCTGAGTTCGTAGACCAACTCTTAAAAATATCACACGAGGTTAGGTTAGGTTGGGGTCTAAAGTGAGTGGGTCAATTCGACCTTACACCGCAACCCACAAGAGTTAACTTCCAGTGACAACCAACAGTCTGTTGCACTCTCCATTAAATTGATTTGTGCAATTGGAAATGTGCACAAGTCTGTATGCAGTCCATCTAGCCTCTCTCTTCAGAAGAATGTGGAGAGGAGACGATCTGGCTTTGTGTAAAACTTTTTCCAAGTGAGCGATCCAGGTTAGTCTTTTATCAAGGACAATGTTAGAATATTTCACCTCCGTTCCACATGGAATGACTGCACCATTGAGGGAAATCGGCGTTAGATCGTCCAATGTTCTCCTCTTGGTGAAGGGGATTAACACAGTTTTGCTGGGGTTGACAGACATCTGCTCCCTCAGGCACCAACTGTGAACATCGTCCAACGTGCTTTTGGGGATTTTACAAGCTACCCTTCCGGACGTAGGCCTTGCCAGGATGACAAGGTCATCTGCATAAGCTTGCAAATCAACTTTTCTTCTGTCGAGGGCATGAAGCAGACTATCCATCAAGAGCGATCACACGAGGTTAGTGGGCCGGAACTCAACCTTACGAAAACGTCATTTACAGAATCGAAAAAAAAAATATTGGAGATGACTAAGACATCTCCTGATGATGCTAACTCGGATAGCGAAATGCCCGTTGGGAGACAGTATTTTAGTTCTGTTGTGAAAAAAGTGTTATCAATAGATTCATTTCACGCCGGAGATTTCTGGGAACTTTATTATTTTTATTATTCATTGAAGATTTAGCCAGAAGTATCAGCCGTTCGAAAATGCATTACGCAGACGCAAAATAATCAAAACTGAGATGATGCTTAGTCATAGTATCTAAACGGTGCTTCAAAAATCACTCGCATTCAAATACGTCTAAATATCATGTTGTTCTATGAAACTAAATAATCAAAAAACTTCAATTATGAAAGAAAGAACAATCAATCGAGTGGATGAAATGTAAGATTTCGGAGTTCTTTCTGATGAATATTTTTCATCTATATCACATATTATAATATTGTTGTAAATCATCCTCTAAAAAAATAACGCCGGCCGCCCCTGGTCGTCGTAAATCAATTGTGACGTAGCCAAGATCGCGCTCAACTCTACTAGCGCTTCGTGATCGTTCTAGAGGTGTTTTCTGGTGTTTTCTGCATTCAAAATCGATTCGTAGTGACGTCGTTAATAAGAAGATTCGCCAGAATGGAGTGATTCAATTTGTGTCAGATGTCAAATTCAATAATGAAAACAAACTTTTCAATTTTCTCTAACCTCAATTGGTATCGGATTCGGCACTTCATAAACTATAACGATCAAAATAAAACATAAACTGACAACTGACGTAACATAACGTGAAATTCGGTTTCAAAACCAATCTCACGCTAGTTTTGAATCATCATGAATACGTTTCAAATCATAGTTGATATGACGTCATCGTTTCAACGCCAGAATGGATATATTTGAATCACAGACAAACACGTTTTGAATACATGAGCGCCAGAAAACACCTAAGCTGTCGCGTCATTACGAGAATAATTCTACCGGTTTCCTAAGACTTCGATTGGCATATATAAACACTACCCACTCGCATATCAGGAGAAGTCTAGTAGACAGTGCGGAGCGGGGTGTTCTAATAAAGCGATAGACATTCGAATATCAGCTTAAAACTTCAGTTAAAGTGTTTGTTTGTAGCAGTGAAGTGAAGTAAGTTTGATTACTGTTCACTGTTGTCAATTATTGTCAAACCCACGGAGAAAACGTCAGGCTACTCGCATGTTAGGTTTCATTATGCGAAGTACTAGAGGAGAACGTTGAGGCAATCACTATTCGATTCATAACTTGCACAAACAAAACTTCAAAGCTTCAAAAAAAATGAAATGTTTGTATTTCTAAACATTGGAAGTTTATCCACTTGTCAATCAATTCAATATAACGTCAAATGTGCTCTGGTTCTGCAAAAAATAAATTTTCATATTCCTCGCATACATTCCAGACACAATACGACATTTCATTGTGATAATTGTAGAACAAATGCTAATCGTAGTGCACTGGTAACAATATCAATTTAATATGTGCGATATGTGACATTAAACGTGACCTTTCCTGAATGCATTTTGAATTGTATTCTTCAAAGAGCCCATTGTCTATAAAAAAATGAATTTATTTCATCACGATGTTTGCTTCGTATTCATTAGGAAGTTGCTTCACTCACAATGTTCTATCCCACAAACTAATAGTCCGATAGCTGTGACATTTGTACACGTGTCTTTTGACGATTAGAGTTTACTAAAAATCACATGGATTCAATGCTAGTGGCACCATCTGTGTGTTAGCTCAAGAACTCTCCAGCCCATTTATTAGGTATATTATTCTGAAGGAATCAGTTTCGAATGATTCATGTTTCGGTCGAAATCAATGAATTTTTTCTAAAAGCAATTTTTGCTTACGACAATTTTGATTTTTTGACATTTTCCTGTACATTGCACCTCTGTTGCAAAAACAGCCTCACTGCAACTTTCATAAAACCATAAAGAATGAAATTCCCACACAGATCTCGTTTTCATTTCTGAATTCTTCTTCACTTTTTGTACCTCTCAATCAAAATAGTCATAACCTATATTCTGAAATCTCACCAAGAACGGTATTAGTGTCCTGTATGCAGTACCTCCACTGAGGCTCTTCCCCAGTCTCCGAACCCATCAAAGCAGTCCTGAGTCCTCTGTATGCGTCCCTAAACGCTTTTGACAGACACACTGTGAACACTCTCACTGTTTGCCACACCATGTAGTTGTTCAGCACGCTGCAAATAGAAAACAAGGATTAGGCGCCCCGGAATCGAACCCTGTGGAACTTACATTCGCCCCTCCTCGGTTTTATTATACTGCTCAATCAGGATCGTCAAGTTCTTCAGATAATCCGGGGCGTATACGACGATCTGCTCCTTGGTGGTGACTTTCTTGTTGACTATCCTCATGGCGTCTTCGAAGAACTTCCTCCAGTCTATCTGTAAAGATTATATGAGACGTGTGGAACTCAGAGACCGCATGAGTACTCACGAAGGGGGCTTTTTCTTGGAGTTCGGCGATGGACATCAGGTTGTAGAGGTGCTCCTCGTCCCTCCGTAGGTCGCTTGGGGTCGTTATGTTGGCGAGTTTGGTCTCGAACTCTATCACCTTCTTCATTTGGTCCCTGGTTGAGTTTTCGTTGCCACCGAGTAAGACGCCGACCTGAAGAAAATCCCATCAGTCGCTCTTCAGATCAATCTGAACTATCAGAGTTGATTTAATTTTGCCATCTTACCTTAGTCATAAACTCCAAATAGGCGTCCAAGACTTTCATGTGTTCTTTGGTTTTATTTAGGTAATTGTCCCTTGTAGGCAGAGTCAAACCGCTTTGATCTATCTGAAGAATGTGCCTGCTAGAATTCTTATCGTCTTCTCCAACGGCATAAGAGAACAGACCACCTGAAATACCGGTGCTAAAAAACTACATTTTATTTTCTTGGGAACCTACCTATGTTGTATTTATTTTGAATGGTTTGAGTGATATTCTGCAAAGTCCATGTCGTGATGTTGAAACCGCTATCTGTGATGTTCCACCCGCCTAGTTTATTGATGAGGGCAACCATGGGCTTGTTACCAAGAGACTCGACAGTATCATTCACGTCCAAACAAGATTCATAATACATTTTGGCCTTTTGTTCTGCTTTGGACTTCAACGATTCGTAGGGCCCCTCTGAAATACAAAAAGTTTCGAAAGCAATCAGCTCATGGTGAAAATAGCTACAGATTTCCAACAAAGCAAGTATCCGATGCTTTTTCATAGTTTCTCACCTAGAACCCTCTTGATGATGAGCTGATTCTGCAATTCCAGCTTCATGAAGGTTCCCCAGGTGCTTTTGGCATCAGGTATGGGGTTTGCCTTGACCCAACCGTTGCAGGAGTAGGAATAAAAGTCCTGGCAAGGATCGATAGACATGTCCATCGCCTCGAGGATGTTGTTCGCTATGTGTATGCAAGATTTGTTGAGGCAGGGACTGGGAACGATAGGACGTTCGATTGGCACTATTATAGTCTGAAAAAGTGAATCAGAAAGTACTTCAAATCACTGGGCCCATCACAGGTTCTTGGGGAACACAAACATAATAATTATTACTGATTTACGAACACGCCAGATATTTTGAACGCGCAGTTGTTATGTAACAGTCTTTTAAGTGAGGTGATATGAGGGTGTTTATGAAAATGGACAAAATCGGTCGTTAAGTTTGATATTTTTTGAAACATCTGAACTTTAACTAATCAGGGTCAGTGAATCATCTTGGAAAGATTTTGAATATGGTACACCTGTCCACCTTCCTGGAAAGAACAGGATGGACGATGAAATAGGAGGACAATTCCTCGGGAGTATGTACAATGGGTCACATGTGGCTTAGGTGCTGTGAACTTGATATTCCTATTCCCTATTTTTTCGTTATTTTAACAGCATAAATGACATTAAAAGCGCATCGCTGAAACAGCTAAAAGCTCTGGAATAATTGCATAATATTTCATGGGGACTGTTTCGAAGGCAACATCAATGATATAGACGAATAACTGAATATTTTTTTCTAAAAACGAAGATTCCAATTATTTTCTTAAAATGCCTTTTACAGACAAATACGTCATCCACTAATGATGCCATGCGGCTTAGTGGCATGTTTTGTGTGAATATTTTTATACGGTTTTGATATGTAGGAAATAAAATCTATTTTATCAGTTTATTCTTTTAGTAAACCTCGACCAACCAATTACCACTTAATTGTGATTTATTGTTCGCCGATAATTTTTTCTTTAAACATATCTTACCTTAGACTCTTGCAGCCTATGTTCGGTGACGTGTAATATGACGGCTAAGATGAATATAACGAATAACAATATTCCAACTAGGAGAAGAAGGACTTTTTCCAGCGGTGAACGAGCCTTCCATACCGTGGTACCAGCATGGTATCTAATATGGGTCGTACTGGTACTGATGCCTGAAATAATAATCAAGGCAAAATTAATATTGAGATTGTTCGTAGAAAAACCATCAACTCAACAGCAAATGTTCAGAGAAATTAAAATTCAACGAAGAATATGTTGGTAGTTTGATAAGACGTAACGTCCGAATGACCCAAAGGTAACCATATCTCAGACCTCTTGATCAAACTTAATGATTTACAATGAATTCAGTTTCAATAAACTATAACCTTCAAGCGGTATAATTGAAAGAATATTCTTGTACAACAGCTTATTTAGGTTATGTTTCACATTCTTTTATTTGCTTATAGTTATCCTGATGAAATGTGTTAGTTGATCATGGTAATTAATCAGGTGATTACCCTGATCAACTAACACATTTCATCAGGATACCCTGATTAATCATCTCAACAATAATGAATTCTACACAATTATATACGCAGATGACATAGTTATCTTGCAGACCGCCAAATTTGTGAACACACTGTGCCATAGAGCGCAGGATGGGCTCAAATTAATAGAAACATGGTGTAAGAAACACTCACTGTCGATCAATCCCAAGAAGACTGAGATGGTCCTTTTCAGCGTGAAAATAAGTTTATCGGGCTTGAAACCTCCTGAAATCTTCAAAAGCAAACTAAACTTCTCTGAAGAGGTGAAATACTTTTGGTACTATCCTCGACAGGAAGCTAACATGGAACTCTCACCTACAGAGTAGATCAAAAAGGGCATATGTGGCTTATGAGCAATGTCGGAGGACAGTGGGACGCACATGGGGTACCTTGATCTACACGCCATAATTAGACCTGTCTATGTTAACGTACGGAGCCATTGCATGGGGACCGAAAGTTCTACAAAGCAACGGCCATCCAAAAATTAT